AAAAAAAAAAAAACTCAATAGAGAATATCCACTTAATTGAACATTTCTAGAATTTCAAAACATATTAATTCCCATATTTAATGAAGAATAATTCATAATAATGAAATAAAGTTATCCAAAAAATTAAAATATTATCGTAGCTACATATAGTGTGGATTCTCAGTGCAAAATCACATTCTTTCCTTAACAAAACCAAACTCACTTACAAAAGTTTCGACAAATAATTAAAAAGGATCTGAGAGTAATTTTATGAACATGGTCTTGTATAGAAGTCAGAGAGTAATACATAACAGAAGAGTGAATCCATACATAATACACAACAAATACAAGAATTTATACACTATCATGAATGTGTACAAGCATCCGAGTATCCTGTGTCAAATCTTAAAACCTCAGTGAATAATCATTACTAAACTACCTAATTTTCAACCTAGTCAAAATGAATGACATGCACAAGAGTTGTCTGTCAGGGAAATTACCTTCATAGCGTAAGAGAACTTCAGATTTTCCAAGTTTTTGCGACTATAATAATGCCAACTCTTCCCATTTTACAAAGATGGTTTTCCACATCATCTTTCCATTGGTTGAGCATGTGCGAGATGGTGGCCATCCTCATCTGTATAAACAATAAGAACATCAAGAACGGCTAAACAAAGATTTGACTAATATGGCCTTTTCATCACTTCATTTTTGAGTAAGAATGATATTACCTTTTTAATAAAAAAAATGTATCAATAAATACATAGGATATGGTTGTTTGAATAGGAGAAACACGGAAGCAAGAAAGTATGGAATATTTTTCTTTTTGGTATATGATATAATAATTTACTTCACAGATGCTAGGTACAAATTAGTGACATGATTGAACACAGTGCAAAAATTGTGGCAACTCCTTTAATGCATCATGGATTTAAGTTGAAAGTGACTGCAAACCATATTATGCCAGCATCATAAAAAATATGATGCTGAAAGAATGCAAATAGTAGTATTTTATTCATAATTATCTGCACTAACTAGATTCATTGATGTCCACATTATTCTAATTTCTAATTTAGAAGACCATTCATCAATTTTCAGATGGTATTTGCTAAAAGGAATCAAATCAGAAAAATACCACTTTCGCCATCAGAAAGATCTGCAAGTCTTGCAATTGCATCAATAAGAGCTTGCTCGTGATCCTGCGTTTATTTCACATGAATTATCTGTACATACACCATTTAAAGGAAAATACATGAAATCGCACACTGACATATGTATCTGTCCCTTACCTTTAATACCTTCTTGACTTGTTCAATTTCAAGTGCATCAGGATGATTAGCATTGAATACCCTCTCTACCTGTCATGTTCATCAGACACTTGAATATGTCAAATAAGATCAAATAATCTCAAAGAGTACTATTCTGATTGAAGTGTTTTCAGTAACCTTCTTCACTAGCGTGTCTGTGTGAAGTATGTGTATATCATCTAGAGTCTTCTTTCCAATTCCATTCTGTGATGGAAAGAAATCCATTTTGGATTGTCCCTTTGTGGTTCCCCTACCTCTTACAGCTCCTGGAACACTGCCACGTCCTACAGACCTACTCATCCCATTACCAGATCCACGAAGACCCCCACCATGATTGATTCCTGGATCCTCACCAACCCACTGAATATCTTCAGGAGAGATCTGCAGTAACAATAATATTTTTGCATGAGCTAAAGACATTACAGTGCAGTGCTAACAATGCAAGCATAGTATTGTACATTTACTACATGGAAGAGCAGTGCTTTCAAATAACCACTACAATTCAGGGCTTAAAAAAAAGGAAAGTTTAAAACATGTTGGACAACAAATTTCCATTTCATATACTATCAATAGCTGCATTCATTAACTTTGAAGTATTAAGCATCATACAATTCTCTTCAGCCAGTTTTCATTCTCTATTTCAATACTGAAAATGAAAGGATTGCAACATATGCCAAAAATTAAATAAACTAAAAAGAAAAAAGAGCAGTACAAGGTTATTTTCTTTATGACATTAAGGGGAAAGAACCAAACAGTTAAATACTCTATGTCGAACATACCATACTACTTTATGTGTGACTTTGGTGCCACATAATACCCAAGTCCCTATACCTTCTGTACGAGATGATGCCTTGGGAACTTTCATTCACCATGACACTCCATTCAATTTACTCGTAAGTCATAACACTATCTAGGAAGCTCTTTTTTTTTGAGACATCGACAATGAGCTTTGATACCAATTGATAAGTACCAAGTACTTGGAGAACCCTTAAAAGCTAGCAATTAAGGAGATAGAACTAGAGTTAAAACTCCACTAAGCATCCCATTCTGCTTGATGCTAGATTTAAGCACCCGTCAACACCCAAGTCCCTATCAAACTCTTTATAACTATAGTCAAAGATATTAAATTACACATTGATATCCCCAAAATGTAAATAACAATACCATAACATAAAAATGAATCTGTTTAAATTCCTAAGTAATATAATAGACCATTTTGGCAATGCTAAACTATTTGTTTCTATGAATATAAAATATTAATACTGGTAAAATGTTCTTTAGTTGATTATAGATGAACCTTTTGCTGCCACAACATACTTGCTTTATCACCATTAGAGAAGACTATAAACCTCTTATTTTTTTTAAAAGAAATGGAACACTATCAGCAACCCTTTTTAGGGCTGGGGTTGTGAAGAGAACAATAATGTCTGACTGTTCTCTTACTGCTTGATTGCCATTTCAAACTTCTTAACCCAAACATGTTTCCAACCATAATTTTATAGTTATAACATTGTGATGATGATATGTTAATCATAAACACATAAGAATTTCACAACAGTAATCAGTATCAGAAATACCTCTGACAGATTAACCCATTCCCACGTTTCATTTGCAGTCCCCATGTCATATACCAGAGCATATCGACCCTGAAAAGTTAGAAGTAAACATAAGCATCTCGGCTATATACTACCTGAAACAAAATCTTAGTTAATTGGGGGAATGTGAGTACATCAGCTCGATTGTAGTCAGATATAACAGCTTCATAAAAGTTGTTGTCATCAGGCCATCGTGTTTGCACTTTCCTACCAACTAGTGAAACCAGTGATGCTTCCTTAGCAAGCTCACCCGTTTCAATACCAGAAGGAGCTCTATTAGGTACTTGATTCCTTCCACTGAGTCCTGATGAAGGGTATTTCTTTATTGAAGATACACCCAGTAATACTTGGCCCTGCAAGTAAAGGGCAACATTATTTAATTATTATTCCTTAGTACAAAAAAGTGTAATCCATGTCTGCATAGGAGACAAACCCAAACTCAGTAAAGCAATACAGAAAGGAAGAGCACTAATAAAACTTATCATTTGCTTACAGGTTTGTGCTTCTTGCCCTTGGATCCAGAAACAGATCCTGGTTTTGCAACCAAAGATGGCTGAACGGGTGGTTGGGGGTGAAATGGAGAAGGTCCACCAAAAGATTCTAAAGGAGTGGACGCCATTATCTTCTGCTTCTTACGAGATACAGAGACAGTGGGACTTGGAATTGAATCATGAATAGTTTGCCCAATATTCAGCATACCAGGCTGATGGCCTCCTGCTTGTCTCCAGTCCCTAAAATAATGTTCAGTAAGGTGTTGATTAAGAAAATAAAATTGGATATATGGAAAAAACAATGGAAATCTCACTTCTGAAGCATAGTTCAGAAAGAAACCATGTTTGAAACTTTTATCAGACCTTATATTTTGTATTACATCATCTGCATTAACATGGCCTAGAAGTTCTCTGTGTTCCTCATTTGATAATCCTAGTTCTTTTCTAAGTTCTGTAATCAAACTTTCCTTCTCCTGAAGAAATACACGCCATTTAGCAGTCATATAAACCTGATCAAATCATCTCACAAATTATAAATATATCACATACGAGAAAATCAAATGACAGAATATACCCAAGTAATGGCATCATCTTGAGCTTTAAAGGCTCGTAGAACTGAACTGTATGCTTCCTTCTCAAGATTGTGAATTTGAGTTTCCATATCAATTTCACCATATGTCACTGGGTATGAAGCTCCTGCAGATCTTCCATTCCTTGCAGGATGTGGCCCTCTGGGGATTCTGTTTTGATGAGTTGGTGGAAGATCATCATCAGTTCCTGCAATCAAGTGAATGCATGCAATGTAAGTATAACATGAGAGGCCAAATGAATCCTTGAAATAGGTATCAACCAGACTTTTTTGGCATTGGTGAAAAATCTATCTGATTCTCAAGAAACAGCTTGTAAGCACAATTCTGAGCATCAAGAGTAGCACACATACATTTACTAATTCGAAAAAGTTAGGACACAATTCATTAACCATAAGTTATGGATCATAACAATTAACTTATAAGAGACACTATCTAAAGGGAGAGGATAAATAATTAAAAGCACCAAAATTTCCTCATGAATAATGCAACTTATACATGACAGCATTACACTGTATCATATAGAGAATTGTGTACAAATAGTTCCAAAAAAAAGGCTGTAAAAGGGAGTATAAAAGAGTTGACACTAAAGGAACTCAAGAGCATAAACATTTTATATAGAAAAAAAATTGAAGTCCTTGTAAACAAATGGATAGACATTTCCATACGACATTTTTTTATCTTATTACATTTATAAAAAATGTCAGGCTTAACTTAAGTAGTTAAATTTACATGGCACATTAACGCAAAACAAGCAAATAGTTTCCTGTTTTCTTTTCTTCTTTCTAATGCATTTCTTAATTGAGGCAGAGGCTTGCTTTCCTGTGCCTCTCGAGTCATTAAAATG